AGTAGTAGTCATTTAAGTTAATTAATTAACAATTCCCAATACAAAGACTCTGTCTTTCAGTAGCATTCAACTTTGTACATATCAACTACGTACGTACAGTCGTAGACAAATCACTGTTTTAAAACGAAACGAGCTACAGCGCAATGCTACATTTAAAAAGTTGTAACGTAAAGCACAATTCTGAAAGAGTCCGTTCGCTATTTTGTAAGTGCAGTAAACAGTAACTATATTGTACAAATGTAATAGAAAAGATCTTTATGCTATCTGTAGTTATTCAAGATTTAAAAAAGTCGGTTACGTTCCTCTGTACAACTTTTGCAAATCGTTGTTTGATATACAGCGACTGGGCTTTTGAAGTCACCTTGCATAGCTTATCAGCCAGACGGGATTCACCCTTTGCAGATTCACCTGATCGGGATTCGGGATTCACCTGATCAGCGCAGTGTCCGTAATAAAGAGGTTAAGTTTATATGGATTTTTTCTCTTGGGCCGAGATTTAGTGTCCGTTGTCCGTATTAGAGAGAGTCCGTATTATAGAGTTTTTTTTTTTAAAGAAAATATAAAAGAATTTTTTCGGGACATTGGAAACTGTCCGTAATACAGAGGTGTCCGTACCGCGCGGTTTCACTGTAATTTCAGTACAACATACTTTCTCTTCAAGTCATGAACAGCGGCGCTTTCGGACTGATTACACCTTTCATAGAACAGTGCCGAATAAAGCAGTACACGCCTAAGTAGGATTATGCACATTCCGAACCATCGCAGCGCGGAATTGAATGGGTTTTTTTAAATTTCCTCACGTATCAGTTATATTTGTGAGAGAGCTTCGCATGGTTCAGTTTTGTTTGTTATTACATTGTACAAACGTGATTAAACAAATCAAACAACCCCAACCACGATTACAGACTGAAATAGACTTCACTCCTTCCTATTACCCTGCAGTGTCTAAATTATTAGAATTATTTTCTTTTATCACAGGTGACATTTGAAGGGGTAGTTGGCAACGATTACAGGGGTGACATAGCAATTGACAATTTCTCCTTGACAGCCGGGTCTTGTGCTTTTAGTAAGTAGTTCTGAAAAAGAACTTTCTTTGCAAAGATGGAAAAAAAAAATAGTGGTGCCCTATTTTTGTTAAGGAATACTTTATACTTGAGTTGTGGGTATTAACGTTTGTCTTTGGGGGCAACAAAAGATTTGCGTCGAAGGATAAAGACCAGGAAAAGGATTGAAACTTACTTGTTCAGATTCTTTCAATATGCCCCTGATAATAATTGTCGTTACAGCGCTCGTTTACTTTCCGCTTCCACGAATCAATAATGCGTCTTTTTAAGCCGCATCAACATACGTTCCCTGACCTCAGCAGTGTTTTTATTTCCTTTATACATGATTGTTTTTAACTTAGGGACGGACCATTAGAAAAGTTATGGGGGGGTGGGTAGGGAATTTTTGAGCCGCAGGAATTTGTTTTCGTTATGAAATTCTTTGTATGAATTTTTTTAGGCCGTAGCATGAATATTTTTTAGGGTTAATTGGCGTGCATGAATTTTTTTTCATTTAATTTTTCCTTGCGCGGGGTGGCTAAGGTTAATTCCCTTTTAGCGCTCCAAGCGTTCAGATCGTGGGGACGGCGAGAAGAGATGTGAGCAAAAAAAAAAAGGCAGAAAGAGGGGAGGAAGGCAGTCTAGTTATTGTATAATTCGCTATGATTTAGTTACATAGTAGACTCTTGACAGCCACTGATTACAAGTGATATTCGACTACAAATTTAATTCGGTCCTTTTCCATTTCTGCAGTTCCAAAGCATGAATTATTTCGGTGCTGAATTGTGCTCTTTCCTTTCCTTATTCAGATTGTTATAGTTATCACTTTGAAAAATACCAAGATTTACCAACCAGCTCAGCTCACGCTGTGGAACATTTCACCATCAATGGAGATCTGTTTCTCGCCTTCGCAAACTACAAAAGTGACACCACCGGAAAATACAACATAAACTCTTTCATCTACAAGTTCAACGATTCGACTAGGAAATTCTCTCCTTATCAAAACATAAGTACAAATGGAGGGCAAGACGTGGAATATTTCAAAATTTCTGATGAACATTACCTTGCTGTTGCTAATGGTTACAATGGAGTTACCCACAGACTGAACTCTGTTATTTATCGTTGGAATGGAAAATTGTTTGTCGCTTTTCAAAACCTCACTACGCAGGGAGCAAATGGCTTTAGTTTTTTCGTAATAGACAAAGAACCATTTCTTGCCGTATCAAATCGTTACGACGACGTTACAAATAGTATAAACTCTGTCATCTACAGGTGGAAAAACAAAAGGTTTGAACTGTTTCAGGAGGTAGCAACAGACGGAAGTAGTAAGAGTGTCGCGTTTCTAATTAATAATGAAAACTACATCGCTTTTGCCAATAACGTCAAAGATTCAGTCGTTTACAAGTGGTCAGGGAAAAGCTTCTTCAAACTACAGACTCTTCCGAAAGCAAATGATTTAAAGTTCTTTAATATTAATGATAATGCGTTTCTGACCATCTCCTCTCCAAACGAGAACCCGTTAATTTACCAGTGGAATGGCACTAAGTTTCGGTTTTACCTGATCTTTCTTAATGCTGCAAGGTGGGGCTTGCATCCATTTGTGACTTGTGGCCAAAACTTTCTAGGTTTGGCTGATCGGCACAACAAGGCAATGTCTCCGCGGTATATATATATGTTCTCTCATGGCCAGTTCACAAAATTTCAAAAGATTTCCACCACTGGAGTGATGGACTGATAACGTCATTTGAACATAAGGGTCATAGTTATCTGGCTATGGCTAATTCAGGGAATGATAATCAAAAGAACACTGAAAGCGCGCTTTACAAGTGGACATAAGATTAATTAGTGGATTAGTTTATGATGTAGTCTATACTAAGGGTAACTCTCGAGGAAGGTGCATACGTATGCTTTAATGGAGCAAGAACGCAACTGAAACTGCTATATATAACAATTATTCACCGAAGTGGAGGTGGCTAGTGACCTAGGCCGCAAAGCGGCGACATAAATATCCATCACTAGCCACCTACACTGAGGTGAGTAATTGTTTTAGTATATACTAACTCATTTATTGTTGCCAACGATTACAATTTTGGCGCGCAATGACCGAACGGCCGCGGTCGTCACTTTTTCTTGCCGCCAAACGAAACTTTTGAAGGCATTTGTTTGGCTCTTGCGGGGCAATTTCTTCAAAAGGAGTACTATCCACTGTTTTAGTATATACTAAATAGATTTAGCCAGACCTAACAGTGAAGCTTCCGTTTATACACTGATAATAATTATAAAAGGAACAATTGAACTTTCAACCAAGAAAGCTATGAATTAAAATTAGGTTTAAGAGCCCTCCTCCATACCTTGCTTGGGACGGATCGCTTGATCATTAAGAAAAAAAATCCTGCAAACACACTTAAAATATGAAAAAAGCCTTTACAGCAAACACTATTTTGAATCAAGTTTGATCACGGTAGTAGGCTTGGAAAATAATTCTTGCCAAGACTACATCGCAGATGAAATCCCCAATGTCTTTATGTGATGCTTTCTTCAACCAAATACGAAAATACCAAATAAACAAATAAACAAGCTTTTAATAGAACAGTTAACAATCTTGTGGCTGCCTTTCATTTTGTGGCGGTAGTAGAAGAACGCGAAATGTTAAGTAATAATAATGACAAAGAATGACAAATAATGACAAATTTCTTGATGCTAAGTTTTGACAGGAGAAGTCACCTGTCAATATTTGACCAATCAGAGATTAAATTGGTCTTGGAACTCGAATAAAGACTTAACCAAGCTAATAAAAGCGTAAAGCCTTAAAAATTTATTTTTGAAAGTTTTTTCGGTAGGTCAAATACAAGGGCCTTGAAGATCTCTACCATTGCAGCTCCATTGCCAGAGTCTCCTCTCTTCCCCCCCCCCCTCCCACAGTCTATACGCGTGGACAGGCCACAGCTGATGTCATAACCAAAATTTTATATAGCAATGGGTCTACCGTTGTTACAGTAGTGTCGATAAGGACTGGACTGGTAGGGTACAAAACAAAATAGCGTGGCTTTTTAATTATCGTAAGTCACTTATTGGCGCTGAACGGTTAAAATATCTTAGCTGAGTTATCACGCCTTTAAAAAAAATTATAACTGCTTACCTTGGGAAAAATATATTATATGCTAAATAAAACCCCCAGAGACGATACGATTGACTGCTGTACACACGAGGGGGAGCAAAGAACGGTCTAAAACGGTCTTCACATCAATGAGTAAAACTGTCAACCGGAATCATATGGGCCAGTATAACGCCAGTATGTCATAACCCATGTAATGTAATTTATTATATGGCTACAATAGTACACGTGCTCTGATTGGCTGCTAAGCGGGCATTATTTTTTAAAAAAACCGGGCATTAGTAGCTAGGTGTCCAAGGCATAAACAAGCTGTGTTTAATTTGATAGTGGGCATCCTTATGGACAACCATCTTATTGTCAATTGAAAGGTATCCGCTGATCAGTGTCACATGATGTGACGTGATTTTTTAAGTTGTTGGTTTTAATTGATCGCGGGCTCAGGTCCATAATGAAAAGGCCATATAATAAATAACTTATAACCTCGTCCGTTAGGTCATAACAGAGAAATTTCAGATCAAGGCCCGATGTATTGACCGATCAAACCATTTACATAAATAACTATTGTAATTACAACTAGAAATGAGAAATGCCAAAGGATGAAGCAGAGTAATGAAAGGAACAATGAGTCTAATCGTACTGAAAGCGTTACTGGCTGATTTCAGTCTATAACATCTCACCCTGACATCTCATATTCATGACAGAAATTAGCATTGTTTTATCACTTTTGCAAAGTATTGAGACAATAGTGGAATATTAGTCGCAACACAGTCGTTCTCTGTGACGTCCCTCGACGCTGCTCCCCACAAAAAATGGTACATACCTCTGCATTATCACCTCTAGTTTTTCGATCAGCTGAAAGAAACTGGGACGAGAGCAAGGGTCATCTTTTTAACAGTCAGTCCTTAACTCGTATCTATTGTGCATAATGTAGGTTTTCAGGGAAAATAATATCTATTTATAAACTTTAAGACGACAGTGGTGAAGAAACGTACACGTCATCACAGCACATGTCTGGCCTTTTCATAGGATATCCACTGCCGTAGAGTCGATACGACTCTGTGTTGGTCAGCGTCGGATATGGCACGCCTCCTGGTGATGGAGCGGGAGAAAACAAATAATTAACAATTACTGGACGAGGTTGAGCAAAATATCGTGATCTGCCAGACACTGGCAAATCACGCTATTTTCCGATAACCGAGTTCAATAATTGAGATTTATCATTCCGCCACCAAGCTTATTTTATTACAGAGTGCGATGGTCTGTTGTTACAATGTGCGACAACTATTTTTACAAAACTAAAAAGTGCGACAAGTGTTATTACAAAGTTCGACAGGTATTACAAAGTGCAACAATTTTATTACAAAGTGTGACAGGTGCGAAGTGCTACGATTATTTCAAAGTGCGACAGAACAGGGGGACCCCATTAATTTGATGTGAGGTACTTAACGTTAATGATGTCATAGTCTTTTATCTTTATCTCATTAAGATAAGGTCACGTGCTATTTTAGGGTTTTAACCCGTTGGACATGTTTTCTAGAATGATAAGCTTAGCACTGCTCAAGAATGCAGTACCCCGCTGGTTTGGAAAGAATTTCTTCCCAAATCAGCGGGGTGTATTTGGTAACACAAACCACTGTAAGACCAGAGCACATGCAGAGCAGATCAATTAAGTCAGAGAAAGGTGTCAAAAGTCGGCAAAAACCCCACCTCCCTCAAGAGCCATTTATTCCCAATGACGAGAGTATTCCAACCGCGAAGTAAAACGGATGCACATTTTTGCTGCACAAAAGTTCACTTTTTTCTTTCATATAAGTGAAATACTTTGCAGGAACATTATAATCAAGTTTGTCGCGTGAATACATCTTTAAAAAGGAAAACGCTGAGATCTTCAATCGTTACGTAATATCCCCCCGTTAAAATACACAAATAATTCACCCGCCAACAAGATCATTAACCCCCACCCCCCCCCCAAAAAAAGAAACAGTTTGTTTTCCTTTGAACACGCTACCACAAGGCTGTCCTATATTGAAACAACTTGAATTAAAGGTAATCATTATTCATTCAAAATATTTCCCCGATTCTGATTGGCTAAAAGCACACGTTTAATTCACCATAACCAGTTACTGATGACCAAATTTGGAAGAAATTTGACTTTAACGAGGAAATGACGTCAAAAATGCAGCGTTCGTGCAGGTTAAGGCACCGTTAACCGAGAAGACCAGGGGACAAGGTTGTGTTGTTTTGGTTGTGAACTTGAAAAAATGGCGGACATTTCACTCGTTTCAAGAGTAAGAAGTAGGCGAAAAAATAGCTAAAGACATGGCAAGAACAGCAAGAAGACAACTCGAAGGGCGACATCTGCTATTTGGAGAATATTTGCGGAGCTGGACAAACCTAAACGTACACTATCGAAGATGAACTGAACATCGATGGATCGATGGAGGTAAGCATGTTTTAGCTATGTTTTTAAACTAGGAATTATTTTGAATGAATAATAAAACAGTTATTGAATTCGGTTTTCGTATCATATGAAGAATTATGGAGATCTCGGAGGGTGTTATCCGTCGGGGCCGTAATTCTCCATAATTCTTCATAAGATACTCAGCCTCATTCATTAACTGTTAAATAACAGCTACCGGTAATCCAAGCTGCACTATGAAGATAAAAACCGCCGGGCAATTCAGATACAATGAAGACGACGCAATCCGGCTTTACTGGTACAAATCTGGTTGAAATGTAAGCTAAACAAAAGTAGTATACCACCACATTTAACGAAAAAAATATAGCACTGAGAATATTTGATACGAAAAGCATTAGAATAAACTGAAATGTTTACGCATTTGCGCGTTATACATTCAAGTGTTAACAAGAGAAACCAAAATAAAACGCGCACGTGTCAATTAATTTTTGTAAATGATTTCAAGTTCGACTCTCAGATTCTCGAGTGTGAGAGCACCAGGAAAGTATACATCGCATACACGAACTGATGCGTGAATAGGATGATGCAAGAAAAAGAAAGGACTACTATTCATCTAGAATTACTACAAGTCGGCCTCACAAGTTTCTTAGTTAGCGGAGCGAGCTTTTTTGGCTGTGAAGTAGCCGAGCGAGCGACAAAGTCGGGAAAAGTCTACAAGTCGGCTTTTTTTGAAAGTCTGCTATTCATCGTGTTCAAGACCAATTCTCTGAGACAGTCTACCCATTTACTAGTTGAATACGCATTTTGAAACAGTTGCCCACGCTTAAAACGCAAAATACAGGCAAAAGCCATGTCAAGGTGTATACTGGAACAGCTCAAGTTTGCTTTTGGATCGTTGTCTACACAACAAAATGTTACAAAAATTCTATTCTGGTTTGCAATAGAAAAAAAGAATATCAGCGTTACCTACAGGCAAATGAATGCCTCAGTGTTTCTGCTGCGCGAGGTAAACTCTTACCTAAGGACACAGCAGAAAATGTTACAAAATTAATGATCTATTCTGGTTTACAAAAGCAAAAAAAATCGTCAGGGTTAAATCACAGGCAAATTAATGCCCCAGTGTTTCTGCTGCGCAAAGTAAACTTTTACTTAAAGACACAATAGAAAATGTTACAACATTGATTGATTCTGGTTAGCAAAG